AGGGATCCAATGTCAGCAAATGGTGTGGTCATTTGCGGACGACAACCGAAACTGTGGTCATACCCTGAAAGCGAGCCAGCGTAGCCAAAATCTGAAAACAGACAAGGGGGGCTTGTGTGCTAGATTCCAGTGGGGTCAGAGCATGATAACCACATTCAGCAGAAGAGGTTGAATGAATTTCCAAACCTCAACCTGGACATTTCAAGTCTGAATGAGGGCTCGGATGTTGTTTCCAGGATGCTTTCTCGGGCAAGTGCAATGCTTTGGAGGCTGCGCAAGTAAAAAATCTAGGCTCGGATGTTGCTTCCAGGCTGCTTCCTCTCATGAACAGGGTGCTTTCTCGGGCGGGTGCAAGGCTTTGGAGGCTGTTTCCAGGGTGCGGCTGCAAGGCTTTGGGGGCTGCGCCGGAACCCTCGGATCGCTCATCCTTCATTTCACAGCTTGGCGCTGGCTCCCAGTCGCACCAGCCACCGCGCCATGAGCCAGTACTCCATGAGGGCGCCTTGCGTCCCGGAGCACAGCTTCTTCCACTGGCCAATCATGTCCTCATCCTGATAGCAATGGAAGGCTCTCGGATTCTCTCTGCGCAGCAGAGAATCCTCCAGGACATGGGCGAAAGCGTGGTGCTTCGGCAGCAGCTTCCAGCGCAGGATGGACAGACTGACCGCCTGTCTGGCCAGAGCAGCATTGAGACGCAGGAAGGTACAGCCTGCCTCAGCAATAGCTCGCGCTTGAATATCGCTGAGGGGCCTTCTCGGCGCTGTCTCCACCAGATGAAACCAGCGCAACAGCGAGTCCAGCATCATGCTAGCCAGCTTCACCTCCGGATCCGCCACTCGCCTCATGAGGTCTCGCATACAGCCGCCGATGTATATCAGGAAGACCTTGCCAGCATGTGCCTTCAGAGTTAAAGACGGATACGGGCCACTGTCGAAACCTAGGTACCTATTTTTTGTTGCGTCCTTTGGACGTGTAGAGTTAGTTAGTTACGGTTGAGGGCTTAGGAACGCTTAGGGCTTAGGGATAGGGCTTCAAGCTGTAGCAGTTAGGGTTCATCATAGCTTAAGAACTTTAGGTTGTCTAACCTTCAACCCAATACAACACCTTACCACACCGAAACCCTAAACCCCCAAGTTTCAAAATCGCAAATGCACAGACCCCCAAACCCTAAAGCCTGCAACCTTAGATTCCTAAACCCCTCCACCCCGCTGAACCATCTGAGTCCGGACTCAACAGACT